GCGTTGGTGTGGAACTGGCATCTTCCCCCCTCTGTGGTACCTCAGTCAGGAGGCTCTTGCAGTGTGTGCCTTTTGACTGGATTGGTCAAGATGGAGGTTCATTTACCATTTTTCCCTTAGTTGTTTCTCCAAGTGCCGGTCAGTTTTAAGAGTTGAATTTGGGGAAGGGTGATCCTTTTTGCTCAATGGTAGCCAGTCCAGCCCTGGTTTCCAGCACTTCTTGCCCAGTGTTCAAACCCAGGTGTTTTCTTGTAGTATGTCTATTTCAGCAGATTGGCCCCACTGTGTATTTTGTTGCTTCAACCTTCTCTGCTTTTTGCATTTGGAGTTTCTGACATGTCATTCACCATTTAGGTGGGGAACAGGTGGCTTGTTTGTTGGCGTCCCACCCGCGTGTTTTTTCACGGCAGCAATATGATATTGCCTGGCATTCGTTTTGCCAGGCAATATCTTCAATCTTTACCTTTCCAGGGCACTGTCTCTTCCCGAGGTTTTGTGGTGCATCTTGTCTTGCTAGCTTGCATCTTTCGACTGTTATTTGTGTCTGGAATTTTCTGCTGTGTCCCTTCGTGGTACTGTATTGGCATCTTTCTTTACAGCTACACTCTGTTCTGACTTGGTGGACCTAGTGCCTATTTTTGTTTGAAATTTGCCCTTTGTTGGTTTGTTATTTGTTGTTTTTGCTTACCTGGCTTTTCTAGCTTACCAGTCGCTGCCTCGAACATACTGCCACCGTGTCAGAGCCCCTCTCACTGGTGTATTAGGGGAAAGGGTCATGCCCTTAACTCAGGTTTGTCTGGTATTCTTTTGATCTCCAGCTGGTGATCTAACGTGTGTGTTCTCCTGTGGCTATGGTGCGTCGTTTATTCACATTCTATGCTTCTTCTGTCCCAGTTCCTCTGCATGGTGGTGTTGACCAGCTAGTCATCTGTTTGTTCCCAATATGGGACATGTGTGGATGTCTGCATTGTTGATTTCTTTTACTTTTACCAAAAAAGTTTACTGAATTTGCACTCCACATTAGGAAACGAAGTGGAAGAGTCATTGGTTATGTTGACACAATGTATACAGTTGGCTGAATCTTGACAGTGAAGTTAGGGACTGAGGTTCAGTTGGATGTTATTTGTGCTTGTTGCTTCACTTTAGTTCACACATTGTGTTGAATAACTTCATTTATGTTCACTTAATTGACAAAAAAATGTAATATGTAAACCTATATTGCACATAAACCTATTCCTGGAACAGCTCAAAAGATGTGTTTTGCAACCCTCCCCCTTGCTGTTATTATATCTGGTAATGTTGTCCAAAAATAGATTGAAACACCAAATTGTGATTTGATGATTACAAGCACTAGTACACGATAACCTCGTTGCATAGTAAGCAATGACGAAACAATAGCGGAATGTTTTGCGGGTCTTGGTCAACTCCATTACATTCATGTAGATGAATTATAATCACAAACACTGGTTAGATTAGACCAAATTGTGATTTGAAAATAACCCCTAGTTAGTACACAATGACTTCATCTCAGCAGTTCAAAACGATACCAGAACTGACTCTAGATTAACTCGGTTACATAAATATAGTTACTGTATATTATAACTATATTCACATCATTTACATAAAACTAGGAGATAATAACTAAAATCAGCAAATAGTGATAACTGCATTAACCAAGGGATTAACATGTGATGTTAACCTTCAAGAATTAAACCTCTTGTTTCTTTTTAGATATTTGATTTTAAGAGTCTTGACATTCGTTATGATTCGGCATTATGCCATGCTATAGGCTATATGCCATGCTATAGGCTATAGTTTTGTTTTACCGGGAGTGGCAATTGACCATTACTGGTGACTTTACCCTAGTTGAAATTTATGCACCTTCAGTATTTATAATTCCAATCATCATCTGTTCCTGTTCTCGTAATTACCATGCTGTGCATATATATAGGCTGATCATGTATCTTGAGGTTATCTTGAGATGATTTCGGGAGTAGTGTCCCCGCGGTCCGGTCCTCGACCAGGCCTCCTTTTTGTTACACAACCCCAGGAAGCAGCCAATAACAGCTGTCTAACTCCCAGGTACCTATTTACTGCTAGGTGAACAGGTGCATCAGTGTAAAAGAAACTCTGCCCATTTGTTTCCGCCGGGGATCGAACACGGAACCTCAGGACTTTGAATCCCAAGTTCTGTGCACTCAGCCGTCAGGCCCCCCTCTTGAGACAAATACTGAATATTGTGAGGGCAAAAACTGGTTTTGTAATGTTCTATATTCATGAAAAAGTAAGACTATAAAAGAAAGTTTAATTACATGCACATATTGAGCTCACAATTATTCCTCAGTGACAACCCATACTAAAATTTAAGTAGCTGTAGAGGGGGTCTGTTTTTCACCATGATTGCAACATAAATATTTCTCCAATGACGTAATCCTACCTAGCAAATTTCAAGCTTTGAACATCTTATCATCAAACTTTTCACATTCTATGACGCAAGTTTGTCATAAAACTAACGCAGCCCTCATTGTCTCAACACTTGATCTTGATTTCTCATTTGACCACAATTTGACATTTGGCTGTTTCTGGCTATGTAGATGTGGCTTGATGTCACTTCTACCTCCATAAGCAATGGGAAAATGGACTTTACAATGTTAGCGTGCCACATTTGTTCTATTACTATATAGTTTGTCCCATTTAATAAATTTGAATGCCTTCTGGAAATTGTCATTAAAACTACCGTTTGCCTCACAAAAATTCCAAGGATAGACTAAAAAGTTTTAAAAAATATAAAGTTTAAACCACATGTATAGAATAACAAAGCCAGGGGGTTAGCATACAAGCAAAACAAAAACCAATGCTACAGCGGAACACATGCCGCATCTGAGATGTGCAAGGTTGCCAACATGTATTTTTTTATTTTCTGAATAAATCACTTCATATGTCAATGCTTAGTATAGAACAACGCAACTCTGTGGTTATACAAATTGCAGGCATCCATGATATTGATATGCGATTATAGGTTATGAATAATAATTTATGATTGACCAATATTAAAGTATAATTATTCTTTATGTTAAAGATGGGACAACATTTACATTTTTATTAAAATGGCAGGACAGTAGGGAAATATGAAAAAATAAAATGGTACTGTCCTGTTCAAAACGATACGTATGGTCAGCCTACATATACTATTCCATATATAATGAGGCAACCTCAGTCGTTTGATTTACTAATGAAACACTAGCATAGAGAACTCTTCAAAAAGCACAGTCTATAGTGACTATAGTTTTATCTTGTATTATATACAGGAGTTGGAGGGGTAGATTTAGTACTGTACATGTATTGATGTACAATGGTAAGAAAGCAAGAACATTAACAGTTTCCAAATAGATTTTCTGTATTGCATACAGTCGGCCTGAAGTTGGTCCATGTGGAATACAGGCAGTGATGTACACTACATAGAGTTGTCTTTCCTAATGCAGGCGATGAGTCACAATAACGTGGCTAAAGTATGATGACCAGACCACACACTAGAAGGTGAAGGGACAACGACGTTTCGGTCCGTCCTGGACCATTCTCAAGTCGATTGTGGAGAATGGTCCAGGACGGACCGAAACGTCGTTGTCCCTTCACCTTCTAGTGTGTGGTCTGGTCATCATTGTCTTTACTAATGTTGTATATCTCATATATGAATTATTATGGGGAGTTTTGTTTGTAATATGAAAAGCAGTAGCATTTCTTCAGATTAATTTTGAAGAAATGTGTTATATTGTTACGGATATTGTGTATATATACCGGCACTGTTGCAAAGTGCTACGGAGACACTCAAATTTGTTTACTATTTGTCGTGGAGCTTGGCAGTTTTTGTGTTGAGAAATTGTACAGTGAAGGTAATTTTGCAGTTACATGAATTCATTTGAGACTTATAATCTTGATGTTTCACAATTAATTTGCCCAAGGCAGTATTATTACCTAGCACTTTGGTGTGTTTCTGTAGTGAAGTTGCAGCTGTTGTATACCCTTTTGCATTACTTCTGAATGTTGACATATGTTCTAGATATCCCTTTAAAAACTAAAAAGTGTAGATAACATCAATTATTCTTCGTAATAAAAAATTCTGTACTCCAAAATGTATTTGTTAATCAATTAATCATCGAATTTGGCTGTCTTTGTTTTACAGAATGAAATTCATGCACCAAACTTAGTTTTATTTGTTAATATACTGTGAAACAGTTTATCTTGTAAAATTAGGGATATAATCAGCAACCGTGTGTTAGTGAGAGTTCGAGTGTGTGTGTGTGCGCGCGTGTGTGTGTGCGCGCGCGTTGGAGTGAGAGTACAGTGTGCGACTTGCGCATGCAGGATAGCCACCCCACTCACACTTAGATTGGTTTGATCAAGGCATACTGGCTTGATCAATAATATTTGAATGGGGTTGCCTGTGATATATGTGAAGTATTGACAACTCATATGATGTTCCGGGCATACTTTGGCATTTCAGTATTTGAGCAATACATCACATAATGGCATGTTGTGTCTGGCTGAAAAGGTTTTTTCTTTAAAGCCCAAGAATAGCAATAGACATTTTTGCTTTGCATTGTGATTGGCTTGCTTTACACTTTTAGTGATTTTGTTTAGTGTGTGCATTCTTTACCCCTAGGTCCATGCAAGAGCATCCATTGGTAATGATTGGAGTTCTGTTCACAGTTACCAAGACATTGTGAACATAGAACCTTCTTTTATTTCTTTTAGCCACTGTTAAATTCTATTCATAAGCCTTATTGTAGTTTTTTTTTATGAAATTGAATTTACTTTAATAAGATGTTATAATTTCAGTTATACATATTTAAACTCAAATAGAAATATAAAATAATGCAAATCAAATGCACAAGTAAAAATCCGTGTAAGGAAGCAGCATATTGTTGAGAATACAACCTGGGTACGTCATAGACTTTCTCGGCAAGCCCGATACTGATGGTTAGTCACCTTGTGCCTCACAGGTCCAGTAGGCAACGGGGAAAACGTGAACGTGTCTAACCCATTTGATGATCAGTGTCAGTACTCACGAACTTACCATAACTCGTATTCTCGTACTCAGGGTAAGGGCCATAGTGTCGGGTGTGCTCGTTCTACCCAACCCTCTGTGCATTGGTTGGTGCGTTCAAAACATGCAGGGCTATTTAGATGCTTCATAGCTTTTTATGGAGTTTTGGTCTTTGCAAAAGATTGAAATTATTACAAGATTAAATTTCAATGATGACCACCAGCTTTTAAAGATGCAATTTTTTTAATGATCTCAATTTTTTTCTTATGCAAAATGTGATTTAAATCGTGAGCCATGTACACCAGGTGAAGTTTAAAATAAAACCAAAAAGCATCTAATTGCTCTCATTCTAGTTGAACGCATTTTGTAACATGCCTCCATTTAGATGTCCCCCCTTTTGTCTGCATAGATTGGTTTTATTTAATTTTAATTTTTTTGTGGGCTATACTTTGTAACATATTAATATTTTGTAATGCATGTTTTCTGGCCATGTTTAAGCTTTTAAGTTAATACAGTATACGTTAAGATAGGAAGGAGTTGACACTGTGCCGGGTGTGCCGTTAGGAATTCTCCTAGCGACATCAGCATTCACATTGCATGTAGGTATTTTGTCTTATAGATTGGTAAATTTCCACTGTGAGATCTTCGGAGAACTCTGATGTTTTAGTGCCACAGTTGCCTCTGAAAATGCTGTCAGTGTACAATTATTGAATGGCTGGGAAATTTGAAGTCACTAATGATTGCTATATGGTCAGACTGAAGATTGCTGTGTGCTCAAACTGATGATTGCTCTACAGCCAGAGTGATGAACTATAAATGAAGCCAGTTGACTAGGATCACAAGGTCTATTGGGGACAGCAGATATTTACACTTTATTTTACACTCTCTCAATTATTATTATTATTATTATTATTATTATTATTATTATTCTTGCCTTGGTTTCAAGAACTTTTATTATCTGAAGTCCTCAGTAGACATGGCTGATAAAATGGCAACTCAAATATTTGTAGGTGAGACGCCCAGTTGATTTGCTTGTGTTTATGAATTGCCATAGCATTAACTTAAGTTATTGCACTGACAACTTGAACACGTTCATCCCAGTGTTATCATCTTCCAAATAATTTTCATATAGTTATGATGAAATGGATTTCATTTTTTTTTTCATGGAATTGACTTTTCCCGGTTGACTTTGCAGAAAAACTGTAATGGTTTTATTTGAATGCTTGGAATGATTTTTCATGAGTTTTGTTTTTTTTATTTTTTATTTTATTTGCATTGTTCATTGTAAACAATGTTTTGTTGTTTGTCTTTATGTACATTTCTTCTGATATATTAGTAACTTGTAAGTTTGTTATATTATTATGCTTATCATTTTGTAATTTATTTTAATACTGTAGTGACAATATTAATGAATTGAATTATACTAGCTACACATACTTAGTTGTGTTCAATTTTACACTCTGCCATTGGTTAGTTTGCGTCGTGAATGCTTTACCGTGTTATCATAAGTTTGGTACACAGTCATGGGAAAATAGTTTGGTTTTCATCTGATATTTTGTCAAGTTTTTTGAAGATTATTTGAATGTTTATCAGTAACATTTAAGTTCTTTTAGTTATGTGCTTGCTATAGTCATGTTACACAAAATATATGCACAGATTCCAGAGATTTGCATAGCCACAGATGTGTGTGGATGGGAAGCCTCACCAATGAGCACGTGTGTTGTCTACCTGCAGGTTATCAGGGATACCAAGGGGGGCAGTATCATGGTTACCAGGGTATGCAGAGTGGCTATGGTCAGGGGGGTTACCCGAACTCCGGCTACCCTCCAGATGGGCGTGCCTATCCTCCTCCAGGACCACCTAACCACCAGGGCAACTATCAGGGGAACTACCAACAACCTGGGAGTTACCAGCGGCCGGCTTATGCCCCGGGCCAGCCTGGCTATCAACAAGACCAGTATCCGGTAGGTTGGACGGAGCGTGTATGTGCCACGCACTAACCTTAGCTTGGAGTCTGTACTGTTTTCTTCACCGTGTCTTTTTTAAGTTCCTTCTTAGCAAAGTACTGTTCCTTTGTTACAGCATATCTAAAAAGAGTTGTGTATATTTTACAATACATTGCTTGCTTCAGTTATCTTTTTATAAGCTTGTTCCCTATCTCCATTTGTTTACAAATAACAGCATTCATTTATAGGTATCCTTGTTGACCATTTGGCCCAAAACCTTAGTTTTGTTGAATAATATTAGTTGTGTTCACACAAAGTACAAGTCAAATGCACTTCCATATATTTTATAATAAACATACATACATACATATACATACATATATACATATATATATATATATATATATATATATATATATATATATATATATATATATATATATATATATATATATATATATATATATAAAATAATGTGCCAAATAAACTACATTTGAAAGGTGAAAGTATCGTTGAAGTACTTTGAAGCCAACTTAACTGGGCCGTCAATAATAACCAAATGACAGAGGAAGGGTCAGTGAAGAGGTTATGTATCATCCCAGCTTGGGAATGAGAGACAAGAGAGGAGGCTAGGAAGTACCTAGATGAATGGTCACACCGGTAATCCCTCAAAGATACCAGCAGAAGCACCAGATATGGAGATAAGGCAGAAATGGGCACAAGGACTCCCACAGGAATGAAGAGCATAGTGGAAGGATATCTAGAAGACTTTCCAAGAGGGTCTCATTTAAAGTCATATAGAAAATGAATCACATTCCATTTGTGCTACACTAGTATGTACTTCTTCCATGGGGATTATCCTAAGGCAACAATTCCAGATAATTATATTTTACCTACCTACAGTGCCAACAGCATACAAGGTACTGAACAAAAATTCTTTTTCAATGCATGAAGGGAACTTGCTATAAGAGTGTTTTTATCCCATGGTTTAAATTACTGCTAGCAACAGCCCAAGATTCAAGAGCAGAGAAAATATATAATTTGACTTTAACTTACCAGGGCCACAAAATACCGGGCAGAGGAAACTATCTAATGACTTAAATCCAGTACCACAGCATTCAGGGCACAAGGGAAAGAAGGCTATGCTAACATGAACATTCGTGCAATATTGGTTATCAACAAAGGATCGAGACAAAACAAACAATTCAGGAAATTGGGGCAATGACCAATTAAGAGGGATTCGATCAAATTTTGTTTGACGAATTCACAGCAATAGACTATCTTCTTAGAGGCATTCCAACTAATGGTATGATTGGCATGGCTAACATGGAGACATATTGCACTCACTTGTTGTGCAGTTCTTATCGAATATTGGTTTCAGGAGATGTGGGTGTCAGCCTGTCAGCTGTATTTAAAATCAGACTTTGCAAGGGATTGAATACACCTTAATCAGTCATTGCCTCAGTACCTTTAATGTTAACCCATGGTTTGCTTCGTCTCGATCCTTTGTTGATTCGTCACTGTTGCATGATTGTTCAGGTTAGCATAGCCTATCTTTCCTTGTGTCCTGTATGCTGAACACTGTGTTTAGCTCAGTAGATGTTTAAACAAACATATTGCAGGGTGCCACTGTAATCTTTAAGTCAAATTATATATTTTCTCTGTTCTTGAATCTTGGGCTGTTGTTATCTGTAATTTGAACCAGACAATAACAAACCATATTATTGCAATTTTGCTAAATGGTTTGAAAGGCAGTTTTGTTTGGTGCCGGTATGCTGCTGGCACAATGGGCAAGTTAAACAGAGTTATTTAAAATTGTTGCTTTAGGATAATCCCCGTGGATGAAATCTATACTAGTGTACTATAATCTATATACTATGTACTATATATATTAATCTATACTATACTAGTGGACCGGGGAGCCGGTCGGCCGAGCGGACAGCACGCTGGACTTGTGATCCTGCGGTCCCGGGTTCGATCCCGGGCGCTGGCGAGAAACAATGGGCAGTTTCTTTCACCCTATGCCCCTGTTATCTAGCAGTAAATAGGTACCTGGGTGTTAGCCAGCTGTCACGGGCTGCTTCCTGGGGGTGGAGGCCTGGTCGAGGACCGGGCCGCGGGGACACTAAAGCCCCGAAATCATCTCAAGATAACCTCAAGATAACCATGAATGGTAGGTGGGTTTTCTATGTGAATTTAAATGGGACTTGAATTGAAAAATGTTCTTGATTCCTTTGACTAAGTTGGTTATTACTGTATGTCTCCTTGTCCCCATTTCACCGTATCTCCTTATCTGGTGTTTCTTCTGGTGTCTTTGTGGAATTACCAAACGTTACCATTAATCTAGTGCCCACCCCCCGCACGCCCGCCCCCGCCTTATATTTACCTTTCGTTCCCATGCTGGGATGATATATAACCTGTTCATTCCTGTGTCATTTTGTTACTGATGGTGGCCCAGTTAAGTGGGGTTGAAAGAGTATTATCAATAGATTCACATATTCAAATGTGGTTTATTCGGCATGATTGTGATCGCGTTGAGTCATCATTTTGTGCTATATTATATTATAAATATATTATATATTATATATAATATATTACATATAATATATATAAATATTTATTATATATATATATATATATATATATATATATATATATATATATATATATATATATATATATATATATATATATATATATATATATATATATATATATATATATGTCGTACCTAGTAGCCAGAACTCACTTCTCAGCCTACTATTCAAGGCCCGATTTGCCTAATAAGCCAAGTTTTCCTGAATTAATATATTTACTATATTTTTTTTCTTATGAAATGATAAAGCTACCCTTTTCTCTATGTATGAGGTCAATTTATTTTTATTGGAGTTAAAATTAACGTAGATATATGACCTAACCTAACCAACCCTACCTAACCTAACCTAACCTATATTTATAGGTAAGGTTAGGTTAGGTAGGCAAAAAAACCTAGGTTAGGTTAGGTTAGGTAGGTTAGGTAGACGAAAAAACATTAATTCATGAAAACTTGGCTTATTAGGCAAATCGGGCCTTGAATAGTAGGCTGAGAAGTGCGTTCTGGCTATTAGGTACGACATATATATATATATAATTTAATATAATATAATATAACAAAATAAAATATAAAATGTGTGCGTGAGACAATGACTAACTGCAAAGGAGTTACCTGCCTCATTTTACTTAAGTACTGTCATACATCTTCAGAAGACTTCTGGAGATGTATTGATTAATATAATAGAAATTTGATGTCTCGCTTTCCTTCATGGTCAGACATTGTCACATTATTCATCATGTGTTGATTTCTTTGTAATTTACACACACACACACACACACACACTAGATAGATAGATATATATACATATATATATATATATATATATATATATATATATATATATATATATATATATATATATATATATATATATATATATATTAATAAAATATTGTCTATCCCATTTTCTTGTGTGATTACAACTGTTGCCTGCTTTATACCCAGCTATTAAATCATTATTAACTTATTTCCAAGTTGACTTCTATTTGATTAAATCTTTGTGTAGGCCTACATTTTTTGTACTACCTTATTTTGCTTCCAGTATTAGCTTGTATGCAGTGATTAAAACCAACCAACCCAACCCCTTATCCCCTTTCATTTGATCATAATTTGACAAGTTCAGTCGTGGAGCGTTTGCCAGCATCTTTGTGTGAAACTGTCGTCTCAAAAGAACCAGCGGTTTTCTATGTAAAAATCTCCAACTGTGCCAGTTCATGAATATATTGACCCTTGCCTTGGACAATGCAACATTATTATTAGATTATCATTGATTTGATTCAAAACTATTAATTATATTCAGACTTTTATATACAGTTTTTTTGTTTTTCAAAAGAAAGAGTGAAATGCCTTCCAGTTCAAGTATTTTTGTTTGTTTCTTGGTTTATTTAATCTGGAGAAAGGTTATTTATAGTAAAAATGAATATATAATCAAATTTGATTATTGTTTGTTCATTTTTCTTTAATTGATGAAGAATAGAATGTAATTTTTCTAAAACTGCTGCTCCACAACTGAATGCGTTTAGCCCAACTTAGTAGTGTAGCCTTGCTTGTAGACTGAGTTAGCCATGTATTGTAGATGGGAAGTAGCGGCAGCAACTACGGCAACTCCCAATTGGCCAAACAACTGCTGAATCCTTCGCGCGGCACGGCCCCCATGTTTCAAGTACGTTTTTTTTTTTTTTTTTTTTTATTTTTTTTTTTTTTTATTTTTTTTTTTGTTTGAGTATGTGTAGTAATAAATAAGGTAATCACATTACATTTAATTTATTTGCACACTTCCAAAATATAATTGTTCTATTAAGTACAGAATTTAAATTAATTTGAACTTTTACTGTGAGAACTTTAGCTTTACCTAGAATGTATAACTTGCATTTACAAATCACTAACTAGGGGTTCTTCATCATGGAGACTTCACATGCTATATTGAGCTGCCTGTATTATATTTTTTTTTTTTTTTAACCCAAGAGACGAATATTGAGCTCATAATGTGTGTACTGCAATTATTTGCTTTAATACTAAGTAGAATGTAGATTTATCGGTGTTGGCTTTAACGGACCTCCCGTTTCTTGAGATTGTTAACCAAGTGACACTGTACAGGTGTTGTTAACCAAGCGACACTGTACAGGTGTTGTTAACCAAGCGACACTGTACAGGTGTTGTTAACCAAGCGACACTGTACAGGTGTAACAGTCTGCCATCCCAGTGGCCTAATTTACAGACTTTACTCACCCGTCTTCTAACTTTCTTTTCATTCCCCAAGATAAGTTTTTTTTAGTAGCAATGCAATGAAAAGATATTTTGATGAGATTTTTAAATATTTAGAAAAAACAAGATAAAACATCTTTAGCATCTTTATCATTATTTTGTATATACTCAGGATTAGAATTTTGCAGTAATATGTGCTATCATCTTGTTGCCCGAGACCTCATTGCGATCCGGTAAATAATCTCGACCCAGTAATGACTTCTAACCCTGACTTGGAAGAACAAGGTCTTGCTTTATAATCTTTGAATAATCCCTCAGGTTCACATTATTACTTGCTAGTATAACTTCCCGTGTTAATTTTCTAACCTCCGCTTAATAGTTTTGTACACTATTAACTTCGAGGTCCTGCCTTTGTATTCAATAATTGATGGATGTAAACCAGTGTGTATTCATTTCTCTGGCTTTGCCATCTTTCTCTTTTTTTTTTTCCTCGGAATGATGTGTTTCTTCACATTATTAATAATTTAATGAATAATTTTGTGTTTCTTCTGTTTATTTCTACTCGCTGGTTATTTTTATATTTGAGTTCATTAATCCTCCTTCAGACATTTTTAAATATATGCAAATTTAGTACATTCTTTCCTCATTTTCTTTTCAATTTTTATGTAGTAGTTTTTCTCTTTGTTACCAGCCTCTTGGTTTTCTACTTGGTTTTACCTGTCGATGATTCTGAAGATCAATAACCCAGTGGCTCGGTCCCTGACCAGGCCTCCTGGTTGGTGGTCTGGTTATTAGTCGCCTGGGGTCAGATTCATGAAGCAGTTACGCAAACACTTACGAGCCTGCACATCTTTTCTCAATTTTTGGCGGCTTTGTTTACAGTTATTAAACAGTTAATGAGCTTGGAAGCACCAGGAGGCTGTTTATAACAATAACAACAGTTGATTGGGAAGTTCTCATGCTTGTAAACTGTTTAATAAATGTAACCAAAGCCGTCAAAGATTGAGGAAAGATGTACACGTTCATAAGTAACGCCCTAATCACGCATCACGCCCTAACTGCTTCGTGAATCTGGCCCCTGGTTGCCATCCTCTTGGTTACCTTTTTAGTTACTATCCTCTTGGTTGTGTTGGTTACCATCGTCTTGGTTGCCCTCAAGGTTACCATCCTCTTGGCACTCAGGTTCTCCTTATATTATGCATAGAACCTTTTGTTTATGGTTTGGCTTTTTTTTTTATTTTTTATTTTTTTTTGCATTTGGTAATCGTCATATTTGAACTTTTAATTCCCCTGATACTTTGCATTCATTATCTGCTGCCAAATCCCTGTGTTGCATACAGCCTGTTCCCTACTCGTCAAAGCCAACGTGACCATGAACATTGACAAGCTTATATACTCGTGTCACAGTCCGTTTAGGTTGTGGGTGATAGAACAGTGTCGGGTATTCGGGTATATAGAACCTATTTACCCAAAATAATATTCTGATCAAGGCTTTGTGATAAGCATTATTTACGGTCTTGGTGATCTCTTGTGTTTTGTGATGAATTCCTAACTGTTCTAAGTTGAATTCAAAATAAAAAATGATTGTAATATTCCCTTAAGCCGATCTTTAAATGCCTAATTGCACATTCTTTCTAACAGTTAAAATCATTCGTTGAGTTTTATCATTTTCAAGAAATAATAAACAGTACAGTATATATTTAGGTATTCTCAATAGGAATACCTCATGGCTTTGTAATTATTATTATTTTTTCTGTTGGGTTTTTGTTCAGTATCTGGAATGCCTATTCATATTGATTTGAAACTGAAAATAGTTTAGTTTTAGGAAATATAATGTGGAATTATTGAAAGTGTGCAGTGTAGCCCCCAATGTACGATATTTTGTATTTTGGTTTCTTGTTTGTGTGTGTCTTGAAGCTGTCTGCACTAATGTATGATTATAAAACTAAAGTTCCTTTAATTTCTTTGCAGTGTAGTCATTTTTTTTTTTTTTTTTTGTAGGGGGGATGGGGTTACCTTGAGGTGCTTCCGGGGCTTAGCGTCCCCGCGGCCCGGTCGTCGACCAGGCCTCCTCCTTCCTTTATGTTGTTTAATGTACAGTATATTTTGGAGGGACAGGAACAAGGGACACATTACTTGATTAGCTTCAATCAAAATTTATCTAGTTAGTCGCTGTTTAGTTTTTGGTCTGATTCCCTGCCTTCTGGTTGCAACAACTTGTTGTTGTTGTTGTTGCTGCATCTGTACTTACGAGCAAGAGGGCCCTCTTCTGTGGTCCCTAATTCTTATGTTACATTCTGGCACTTGTGCATGTAGTCATTTAGCTTCATTTACTCCTACCAGTATTTTTTATTTTTTTTAACCGAAGCTTTCAATACACCACCCACTTACCTTCCCGGGTTCAATATACTTTCGACATCAATTAACATTCTTCTTGACCCCTTCAAGCACATAACCTCTTACTTCACAATCATCTTACGTGAATCAACAAAATGGTAAATTCTTCTGTATAAATATGTATCATTCTGCGTTAAAAGAAACTGTATTTGGTACATTGGCTTCATAAAATTGTACGTTCTTCAGTTATGGCCCCATAATATGGGTTTATATGGGAAAATCTTTGGAACAGAGTAAAAGAATCGAACCACTGTCCTGGGTCACCCTGAGATGCATGATGTACTATAATGCATTCATAGGCATTGTACATCACATTATTGTGATTACAGTTTACATCTTGCTCTATCATTGTTACATTGACCTTCCTTACGTAGCCACATGTGCAGTACAGTATGTTAACAACTCGGTGTCGCTCAACCCTGGCATGCACTTGCTCTACATTGATAGCAAACCAGTCATTCACAACCAGTCGTGATGACACTAATGTACAGATCCAAATTTTGCCAGATATACAGAATATCTATCTGCAATGTCTCCTTACTGTGATGTTGATCAGTTATTGATCCTCACTCGGTTTGATAAAATGAGAAAATAGATGAAACAAAGTTTTGTTAAAAATTTTCTCAAGTTGTGTGTATCTGTAAAAGAAATGCAGGTTGACCTTTTTTTTTTTTAGGTGTTCTTTTAGGAAAATACAAAATTTTCTCTGTTTAGTGAAGACTGGTTTGCACATTATGATGGTGGGGGAGATGATGCTTTGTCTAGTTTGGGGCATTAACTTAGTAAGCCAATGAAGTGAATGCCTCAAGACATGAGCTAACCTTTCATGGTTAGCTGTGTGTTGTGGAGTCTTCCACTTAGAACCTTGTCATTCCCCGCCATTTTCTAGTGCTGTCTCGGCTTTGCGGATGCTGTCTATAAATATAAATGTATATTTACTCTAAGTAAGTATACTTTATACAACTAGGTCACCTAGTTGGTGGTCTGGTCAGCCATGCTATGCATTGCAGCTGCTCCCAGCCTGAAATTATGAGTTGACATATGACGTACAATTCTGGTTTATCAGGTATATTTTGAAGGTATTTTGTCAAGGTCTCTTTTAAAAATCAAACCTGAAACCAGGAGGCCTCGTCAGAGACCGGGCCATGGGGACATTGATCCTCGAGATCTCCAACAGGTAGTCAACACTGCGAGAGGTCGTCCAATTTGATGTTGATCTCTCTCGGCATGCCTATTGTACAGATAGGCAAGTGCTTTCCGAGCCCCTCGAGACCGAGACTGAATGAGTAACTTGTTGTCTTCGGATAAGTGGTTCATCATCCTGAAAAGCTTGGGGGAGGGGGGGGGGGGATTGGCAATTCTGTTGCAGAAATTTGATGGTGTTTTATTTGTACTCGGCATTATGAGAAGTACTGATCTGCTTTATCTTGAAGATTATAATTGATGTAGCATTGTTATTTAGATAGAAAAGGTGGTGGTGGATGATGATAGTGTTGGGTTGCCTGAAGTGGAGTTCAATGGTGATGAGATAACCTCAGCAGACTGCCTTTCACGATGTACTCTTATGTACTCTAATGTACCTAATGCCATGGTAGAATTTAATATTCTGAGCCATCCATGTGTGTGTATGAACACTGTGGTGCTGTGTGCACTACTTGAGCACCACACTGGGCAAACTAGTTCCATTTTTATTGCACATTCTTATTCAGACTGCCTGCCCCACTAGTTATCCAAATTTTTTTTTTTATCTGAACAAACCCAAATCGGATAACGGGCATTTTAAAAAAAAAAGGGCGTTCATAAAGCATGTGGCTGACTACCTCTTCTTTTTAATGAGGCTATTTTGCTCATCCTGCCATACCTTTTGGTCTCGATGTTGTGGCATTTGTGTTTGCAGATTTGGAGCCAGTCCTCCTAGTATTTTCCAAGTGTCAGTTATTATGTATCTCTCCTGCCTGCACTCTAGGGCAAAACAGATTTAAAATTTGTAACCAATCCCAATAATTTACATGTTTTATAGAGTGGATTTTAGCAGTAAAAGCTCTGCATGATCTACTGCTCTGCAGTTTCTCCAGCTTTGAATGAGGCTGTTAGTGTGCAACAATATTTTGGTCTAGAGAGCACTAGTGTTGTAAAAAGTGTCGTCATTGGTGTAGGATCGCTTATTTGAAAGGTTCTTGTTATCCAACCTGTCATTTATCTTGCAGTTGTAATAGCTACTTTGTTGTGTTCTTGAAAAGTACAGATGTCTGACATGATTATTCTGGATCTCTTACGTTACATTTTCTTCCAATAGTGTAGTTATCCTCATGGCTTATTTTGCCTTTAATCTATATTTTTGCAGTTTGCATTTACCTCTTTAATTTCTGTATTCCTCTTGTGTTTCCTGGTTGATGTAAGCTTTATTCTTTCACACCTTCACCTGCAAACTAGTGGTAGCTGCCTTAGCTTAGCAACAAAAATATATTTTCAGCAAATGCTTTATTTTAGATGGAATACAACACTGTATGTGCTTGTGTGTGGCATTTGTAAACTAGATGCTTGTTGAAATCACTGCATAATCTTATTGTGCGAGTGCTGAAAAAGTCGTACAGGATGTTTAAATTTGCGTTTAATTGTGTTTGCTAGTTTGAGCAGCCACTGGCTATACATTCATTGTATATGGCTCTCGACTATTTTGCTTTTTAGATGCTTGCAGTTTGTGGGTGTAGAGGTTCTTGATTATTGGGATCTGTTTGATGATGGATGATGATGATGAGTGGTGGTGATTAATACACTTTGTGCATGCTTTAATATCTTATAATTTACAAGGATGCTTTCCACGTTACTGTATAGTTCTTTTATAAGTTATATTTCTTTTATGTTTTTTTAGTTCAATAACTAATAAATCAAGTTTATGGAAAGTTAACTCTGGGTGTATATTGAGTTATGTTTTGTGGAATATATTTAGTATTGTTAAGTCTCTGTGGTATAGCTTTTTATAGTTTGGTTTAGCAAATTGAAATTGAAAATCTGGTATTTGAAATACGAATACTATACAACTGCTACATACAACTATTGCCTTCCATGTATCTAAAAGCGATTCTAAAGTAGGAAAGCATAGCATGCGCTCCTCGCACAGTGTCCTTTATGTGGTACTAGTGTGACAATTTTTTTATCCAGATTCATTCCTAGGTCTCTCTTAGAATTCTTTAAAGCTTTTTCACATAATTTGTAGCGTGGCCTATTTTCTCCTATTCCACATCCATAACATGGTATTTATTAACATTAAAATCCATTTGCCAAGTGGTGTTTTTATCCAGGTCTTCTTGAAGAGCATGACAATTGCCTTAAGTTTCTTATCTTCCCTCGTGTCTTGGTATCGTAAGCAAACATGTTCATGTAATTCTGTATTCCTTCTGCTAGATTGTTTATATAGACAATGAACATAACTGGTGCTAGTATTGAATCCTGTGATACTCCACTGGTAACACCTTACCAGTCTGATACATTACCTCTGATTACTGCCCTTTTTCATCCATATCAGAAATCTGTTAGTCAGTCCTCCAGCATGTTCCAGTTTCCTGAACAATCTCTCTTGTGAGACTGTCAAAAGCCCTTTTTAGTTCCTGATAAATGCAATCAACCCAACCACAGGACCTTCCTATTTGAAAACCATACTGTTTGTTATGTTATTTCTCTACAGGTGTTCTACACACTTGGGTAAAATTGTTTTGACTACTATGCTTGTCAACGATACAGGTCTATAATTAATAGGATCTTCTCTGCTACTGTTTTTGTATATTGGAATTAAGAAAGCCTTTTTCCATATGTCTGCTAAGATTCCTGTACATAAAGAGGCCGGAAAAAATTAATTGAAGTCGAATTCTCAGCGCAGATGTGCATTCTCTCAAAACCCAAGGTGAAATGCCATCTGGACTAACTGCTTAGTTTTTACCTAGCTCTTTTAGCATCTTTCCACTTCGTTTTCAAACATCTCTATGTACTCTGTTATTATCTGAAATTTGTATTGTCTGGTTCTTGGGAAACTTCATTTTAAACAAACATTGGAACTTTTGTTTAGTGTTTCACACATTTCCTTCTCATTCTGTGTGAATCTGTTTCCCCATTTTCAACCTCTTGAGTCTCATCCCGTACCTGCAATTTACTTTTAATGAATTTATAGAATAGGCCTGGATCTGTTTTAAATTTGTCTGCTATCCTTTTATCAAACTTTCTTTCTGCCTCTCTTCTCACTGCTGTGTAGTTATTTGCTTATTTGTGTTACTGGTATGTTTGAGGGTTTGATCTCTTCCTATACCGAGTCCTTTTTTTTTTCTCTTATTCTCTGGCCCTTTTACAGTTTTTGTTGAACCAATCCTGTTTCTTAGTTTTGCATCTCTGTACTGGTATAAATTTCCTTACTCCATTAACACATATCTTACAGAATTTGTCATACATCTTGCTTACTTCCTTAACAATAAAGCTTTCCAATCAAGTTTATTCAAACTTGTTAAGTTCTCCATAGTGTTGAAATCTCTAGAAATCAAGTTTTTTCCACTATTTCTTATCTCCAATCTCTTCTAAATTACAGTATAATGCATTGTATATTTGATCTCCAAAAGGACATGGTTCTCTTGCCCAATAGTGGAAGGTACTAAATGTCAAATATCTCCTCTTCCTGGTAAATACCAAAGCCAGCAGTGATGGAGCATCACCCTGTCTTATTATTGTGGGCAGTTTTACATGTTCATACATGTTGATACATGAAAGACTCAAAGATGTTTACGAATTGTCTAGTACAAAAGTCCTCTGTCTTTGCTTTCTAGTCTTCCCAATTCAAGTCAGCAAATGTCAACAATAGTGATTTATATGCTTTTACAATCATTTCTCTCAATCATTATAAGGCCCACTCTTTTGTCATTGAGCTTCTTTCAAGTCCATGTATTGCTTGCTGGTGGACTGCATGCAGTAATGATTATCAGCTTATCGTCATGACTGCAGAGCTTCATCGCCATTATGTCAGCTTGTCGACGCTTGTCACGTACTTGTAATATTAATTCTCTTGCCTTTTGTTGTTCCTTCACCAGGACAGCAACACCTCTACCTTTTCAATTTTTTATGTCGCATCTCCTAATAGCATAGCCCTCAGGAATACTACTTTGTGTATACTTTTACCTTCATGTTTCATCTCTGCTAGTGCGACAATATCATCTTAAGCTGTATTATATCATTAAACTCCGTGTATTTTTTTTTTTGTTACCCTATCCTTGCTGGTATACACAATATTTAGGAACATGTTCTCTTCTTCTTTGCTCTTCACTCATCTTTCCTCTAACAATTTTGTGGATTGTTTACATGTACCATCTCACCGGCTTCCCGATCTCTATCACCTTGTAGAGAAAAATCTTTTTCTTTCTTTATTTCTATTCTCAATTAAATGCTTTGCCTCAGCGTGGTTTAATTTTATCTTCTCTCTGTCTGCCTTTGAAAGGTTTTGTCTTAAAGATCATTGTTACCATCAAATGACACAGCTATTTAAAAGTACTTCATTGAAGTATGCATGTTTAAAAACAGTTAACAAATAAATTGGGGAAAATTGCATATAGTGATTGGAGCACAGGAGGAAATGGGAGGTAGTGATTGGGGTACTGGAGGAAATGGGAGATAGTGATTGGAGGACTGGAGGAAATGGGAGATAGTGATTGGAGAACTGTAGGACATGGGAGATAGTAATGATAGTAATGTAGGGGGGTTAAAGGAGTGTAGAAGGTGAGAAAGTGCAGCAGACCAAGTGGTCCAGAAGACAAAAAAGAGAATCACGGTAATATAAGTATTCAGATACAAACATTTTTACCTGCAGTGTATTGATTGTATATAACCAATGAGCCAATACAATAACAGTATATTACAGTTTGGATAAGAGTATTTTATTGTTGAAGGCAAATGGAAAGTTGAAAGTGTCCTCTTCAGTTGTATTAGTAAAAGATGCTAAATTGTTGTAACAGTCTAACCAGCTAGCCTGTGCATGCTACAGCTATTCCATTCATTTTATTTTTATTTTGTTAAAGTTAAGGGTGACTAGGACGTCTCTTCAGTGCATTGCTATCTAGCGTATTAACATAAATTTCCAGGTATGCTCTTGGTATATGTGAGGGGGTTAACTGCTTAAATTTTCTGATCTTAATTATAGCCATCTTTGCTACTAAATGTTCAGGAAAAGGCAATCTTTTTGTAGCTCCTGTTTGTATATGTATATAAAAATTGTTTGCTTAAAGAATACCCAAATACAGCTCTTGAGTACACGAGTAAGCAAGGTAACGTGTGTCGAGAAGTGATTGTTTCGTCCCATTCCAACGATAATTACCTTAATTTTTAACAAATTCTGATTTATATTTTTTCAAATGCAGTTCTAGTTATTCATTATTCTTTGCACTTAGGTGAACTTTTTCAGTTGCCAGAATATAAATACTAGGTTATCGGTTTGGTAAATATTTCCTGTTAGAAATCTGGTATTTTTTCCCCATATCTTCTGTAAAATTTATGCGAGTACTGTAGTGTATGGTAGGTCAGCTCGTCTTCTTGCATTGTCACAGTGGACAGAAAGTGATGGGCTAGATTGCTTGAACCTAACTTAACCTAACCAATGGACCCATACATAGAAAGCATGAGCCGCTCTGATTTATAGTAAAATATATTTTGACCGTTGATGGATTTTGACATCAGAATACAATGAGGACAGATGAAGGGAGGGATGGTAAGTACAACATACATGAACTTGGGCCATTTGCTCTTGCAGGAAGTAATTTAATGAATTCTATGAGAAATATTAACCACATAACCCTTGACAGGGTTACCAGGGTGGAAATATGTACCCACCTACGCAGAAACCTGGAACCGCCCCAAGTCCTGGCCCCCCTGGCCCGAATGCACCCTCAGGCTATACGGGTCCTCGACGACATCCAGATTTTGAAAAGTCACAGCCAGCAGGTATAATAGATACTGATTTTGTAGTAGTGATTTTTCTAGGCTTAATTTTTTTCCAATGTGAGTTATGTGAGTTCATATGTGAGTTATTTGTAGTTATAAGGATGATTGCAATCAAATATAATCTTCAGTTTGAGTTTTATCCATTCAAGTAATATAAAAATTTATACATGTGATTAATGTATAAATGAGTTTGTGTATACTTAGATGTAAAAGACAAATTTGTCTAAGAAATCAACCCTCCCAATGCCTTAGGATGGCGTCCAAATAACCAATATGGAGGCTACGCGGGGCAGAGCCAGCCAGGTCCCCCACAACAACCGTGGAGTCGACCCAATGACTCTGCACCTCCTGGACCCCCGTCCGCACAATGGAGTCAACCTCGGTTTCCAGGTTCACAACCTCAGTACCCAGGAGCGGTGAGTGTTCCTCCTGCCACTTTCTTCACTGTAACTTTTTATTGCAGTAGACGATTAAATTTAGAGGAAAGGGAATAGCCTATTATGCTCATCCATCAAATACAGCATTCAAATATAGATAGATTGTTTCAGGATCAAAAATGATTTCAGTAAATCTGTACCCACACACAAATTTGGCAGATTCTGGAATCCATTCAGAAAAGCCAAATGAACTTAGCTCATCATGTGGAGTTTTTACAGTTCACATGTCCGATGCCTGTATGTGAACAATAGTGAGTGAGTTTATCTAGGCATCCATGGCTCTTCTTCACAGAGCTCTAGATTAATGCCATATAATATAAATATTTCCTTGACATTATACTCTATTATTAAAGAAATGAAAGTCAGTTTGTCTGCACAATCTATAACAATATGGTTTATGAATATGACAGTTTAGTTCAATAGTTGGATTATATCACTGAGCATAAACTCCTGTAAAGGATCTGGAACAGAGTGCTGGATCCACAAAACCACTATAAGGTAGATTTAAGGAGGAATTTGTTTTCTTTTGTTGTAAGAATGATGATCCTCAAACCAATCGCAAATTTCATAGATAATGAGCACTCTTAAAATTGACTAGTGTACAGTTGGGTGTTGGCAGACACTTTTGAGGATACGAAGCTCTTATCTCTTACACTGCTGAATCAAGGAATAATAATTGTATTCTTCTTTTGCTATGTTTTGTTTAAAAGAACAAAAAAATAAGGTATTTCAACTTACAAGTTTGAGGAAAATTAAAAAATAGGGAATTTGAACATAAGTATATTCAGTTTTATCAAATAACAGAAAGCTGTCCTATGTGGTACGTAGCTATCTTAAACGAGGTGGTAGAACTTATAAAAATATATACCGGGTATGTATGATTTCAGTCCATCATTCTAATCAAGAAACTCCCAGAGAAAAAAATATCAGTTGACCACTGATACATTAACTACTCTGCTATAAAATCACACTAATCAAGAATTGGTGCCCCCCAAAATCCAAGCAATCATTACCATTGATGGCAGGACCTGTATTAGAGGCAAAATTTCAAATGAATATTTGTGTTAGCATGAGGGTGGGAGTTGACTGACCTGTTTAGGAGGCTGTCTGTGTCATTCCTTGTGGTTACCTTGTGATGGTTCCGGAGATCAATGTCCCGACAGCCCGGTCTCTGACCGACCCTGACAGCTTGGAGGTCAAGTAAACCTAGCTGTTAGATATTTCTGCTTGCAATCTGACATACGAATCACAGCCTGGTTGATCAGGTATCCTTTGGAGGTGTTGATGAAGTTCTCTCTTAACACCTTGAGAGCTCAGCTACTTATGCCCCTTGTGTTTAGAGGGGGTGTGTGTTGAAACATCTTGGGCCCTTTATGTTGGTATAATTGTCCCTTAATGTATTTGTTCCACCTCTGGTTTTTAACGGGGCTCTCTTGCACCTCCTGCCATGCCTCCTGGTCTCATGAGGTTATATTCATGTGAAGATTTGGCACAAGTCCCTCTATTATTTTCCAAGTGTAAATTATAATGCATCTCTCTTCCTTCACTCTAAATACAAATTTAGAAACTTATGGCTGTCATAATAAGTTATGCTTTATTGGATGGATTTGGGCAATAGAAGTTCTCTGCATATTCTCCATGCCAGCAACTGCTTTAATTTGAATGGAACTGTTAGTGTACAATAATATTCCTCTCTTAAAAGCACTAGTGTTTTAAAAATTATCATTATTGGTCTGACATCTCTTCTTTGAAAGGTTCTTGTTATCTGTGAAGGATTATACAGTGCTATAGTTTGTGTCCTTGTCTCTCTGGGATTTGAGAATATGAAAAAGTACTGGAACAAGTTCAGTACCTGCTTGATACCTGCTTGATGGGGTTCTGGAATTTGTTCTACTCCCCAAGCCTGGCCTGAGGTCAGGCTTGACTTGAGGAACCTTGTTGAGGTACCCCTCGGTACCTTGAGGGGACTGAGCAGTTCATGGTGGATGTTCCAGTTTTAATTTATTTACTATTACTCTTTGGGTTCTGTTTGTTAGGAAATTCAAGATCCTTCTTCCTACTTTGCCAGTAATTACTTTAGTGTGTAAAAACTCCATGGTCATCTTTGTTGAAAGCAAGATATTCAGTTTCATTCAGTTACTGAATGAAACCGTATTTCAGCTGCTGCACTGATGAGCTTCTCTCTTTCATGGGAATAACTTTCAACATTCTCTTGCACTCTTTTTGTGCCAGTCATATTCACATTTTAACTTCTTTCATCAGTTCAATCCACCAGTTTTTCAAAGTACCTGTAATCCCTCTACTGTCATCTAATGTGTTTGTCAGGCTATTATAACTGCACAGACATCTATTCTTGTTGGTTACAATAATCCCTAGGCTGCACTGGGTTTTTCCTATGGCTACTAGTGGCAACAATTACAAACACTAGTCACAGTGTGTGCCGATTAACCACATTACACTAATAAATTACATATATAATTACTTGTATTTTCTCAAGTTTTCTTTCCTTGTCTTTGAGATGCACCCTGCCCTACTTACCATTCAGACCCATCTTGCATTACACTATAATGTGATCAGACAAACCTCAAGATATTCCTCATATTGTTTTTGTTTTGTTAACATTTTAACACGCTCCTTCCCACAAGTGTAAACGTTACCTCTTGTATGCTCTATCCTCACTTACATGATTCTATGTGTACTGAAATATATATTTATGGCTGAAATATATATTCGTAATACATAACTATCATTGACACTGCAATCTCAAAGCACATCATTGTTTGGGTCACTTTCCATGTTTCTATTCAAGTTACTAGCTTCTTGGTATTATGCTAACCTCACTCTAAACCTTCCCAGATATTCTTTCTCTTATTCTCCTTTCCATCATCACACAAAACATTTTTATTTTATTTTTATACACGAGTTCTTTCATTCTTGTACATCCACTAGGACGCATAGGGTTTCGGGCAAGTCCTTAATCCTAATTTTCATACACACACACATTCCCAGGAAGCAGCCCGTAGAAGCTGTCTAACTCCCAGGTACCTATTTATTGCTAGGTAAACGGGGGCATCAAGGTGAAAGAAACTCGACCCATTTGTTCCGAGGGAAACAAATGGCCGGGGATCGAACTCAGGCCCTTAGGACTATGATCCCCCGAATGCTGTCCACTCAGTCGTCAGGCCCCCAAGTCATTATGAGTCACCACAGCCATTTTAGTTCTTTGTGATTTGAATTTTACACACAGTCATTTTGAATTTAGCCTTGAGAACTCGTTCATCGCCCTGTACTAGTCTTCGTTCATTGAGAAGTCTACTACCTCCCAACTCTTGTCATTCCTTTTCAATCCTGTTCTTGTAATCTTTACCGATTCCACACTTCTTTATCACTTTCTCTTGTTTGATTTTACATAATCATCCTGGTCCTTTTAAGTTTGCCATAACCTTTTTTATTCTCCTTAACCTCCAAGCTGCTAAAGGCTATTTGGCCTTTGTCACCCACAGGTGCATAAAAAAATCAATTTTTTTTTCTTATAACCTGTTAATTTGTGTTGCCTGATCACAGGAAAATATAAAAAAATCGAAAGTGGCATATTTTGGCCACAATAGGGCGGGAAAATCTGACAAAAAAGAGGCGCTGGCTCAGCAAGTTTCGGAGGCGGTCAGCTCCGCCCCAGCTGTCAGGCGGGAGTTGCCACAAAGATATATTTACCTAATTATTTCAGTGTCTCCGATTGATTTTTTCTTTTTTTTTCAATAATATTATTCAATAGTGTGTAGTGTGATACATTTATATAATAAAATGTGTGAATCATCGCTGTACTCAAAATTATGGTGTGCATATTATTGATTCAATTATTGTGTTTATAAAACAATAAACAAATACTTTTGCGGTTATTACACTATATACACAGGTTATATACAAGTCTCTGCATGTTTTGTTCACCATAACGAACCACTAAATTGATATTGTGAGTCAAAAAGCAATGAGGAGTGGCCAGCCAGCCACTCGCTACTACTCCCACCCTTAAAAACTCCTCACTTGCCAGCATCTTCCTCCCACCATACTGTTTTTACTTTTATTCACTACATACAGATGTTATATATAATTATCTACATGTTTTGTTCACCATAACTGTACATCTAAGCTGGCATAGTGCATGAAGAGCATCTTCTTGAGGTTATCTTGAGATGATTTCGGGGCTTTTTAGTGTCCCCGCGGCCCGGTCCTCGACCAGGCCTCCACCCCCCAGGAAGCAGTCCGTGACAGCTGACTAACACCCAGGTACCTATTTTACTGCTAGGTAACAGGGGCATAGGGTGAAAGAAACTCTGCCCATTGTTTCTCGCCGGCGCCTGGGATCGAACCCAGGACCACAGGATCACAAGTCCAGCGTGCTGTCCGCTCGGCCGACCGGCTCCAAAGCATAGTGGCGACCCTTACACAGCACGACAAGTCAGGATGATGATGCCACCTCCCTCACCAAAATGGCTTCTCCCAACACTTCTTTTGCTGTTATTACACTATATATAAGTATTATTTGTGTTCACCATGGTGAACCACTAAGCTTGTATGGTGACGGCAGACAGTAACAGGTGGCCACATAACTGATGTTCCCCCTCTCCCTCCCTCCCTCAATGGTTCAAGATATACTCAGATGCACTAACATTCCTCCTTCAAGTATTCTGTTTGTGGTGTTATTACACTATATACGGACGTTATATATAAGTATCTGCATGTTTCGTTCACCATAGTGAACCACTAAGATGGTATAGTAAGTGCAAAGAGCAACAGGTGGCCACATAGATTCGGCAAACAACGTTATGCCCCTCTCACACTCAACATTACTCCTCCCACAGCACAGCACAAATTATCACAACAATCCTGCTGTTATCAGAATCCTGGTCATTTATATCACCGTCAGGGATCTTCTGTAATACTATCATCGCTAAATAATACAAGTTACATATTTTTGGCATTTTTAGGCGATGCTGTGGTCACAAGCTAAACGGCAATGCTGTGAGCTTGTGCTGCGTGTGCCAGCCTTGGTGGCTCACTCAATACTGAGGCTCTCACACCTGGGAATGTTGCCCACGATTTAAAAAAAATTGGCGTCTGTTTGTCTGAACGTGCATCCGCGGGTCATTTAAATCTTGCGTAGTATTCTAAAACTGCATATGCAGTGTTGCGCACTTTTGCGTCAGTTACTTAAAACTTCATATGCAGTTTTGCGCAGTTTAAGGGTTAAATTGTATATAAATTTATACTCTCCTTAAGTCTTCTATTACTTTTTTATGAGCTTTCCCTAAACTTTCCATTCTATTTGTATCCTGGGTTATACTTTTATTTACTCTCCACAGAGCTATACGTTTTTGTTTTGTTTTTGTTTTTTATTAATAATATTCCATCCTAAATTCCCTGGCATTGATATTGAAAAGCTTTCTTTCAAAGGCCATGAGTTTCGTGAAGCTCAATAATGTATTTAACTAGGCTATTGCTGTGTGTAACTACCCTTTAGCAATTATGTGTAACTAAATGTGCTATTGATTATGGAATTTGTTCATATATTACTGCTTTTTCAGAAAATTTATGTAAGTTTCTTCTTCCTTGAAGAAAATCAAAATATTACTGCTCCATGCATGTAGGAAATGTGGTGGTGGTGGTGGTGATGATGTTGATGTTTTTAACAGGGGCGAGGATGGTCTGGTGGCAGCTTTACTCAGAATGTCGGGCCCAGACCGCAAGGGCCTGGTAATAACAAGAACTATTTAGTCCCTTCATCTGCTTCATTTAAGGCAAGTATACGTACTGAGTTGGTATATAAAACTAATCTGAATTAGATTATAAGAAAGGATGAGATGAGATGAGAGAGTTGATAGTGTCAAAATAAAATGATTATGGATAGATGGGTGAAGCAGTCCGTCCTGTCAAGTGGCCACAAAAATGATGTACTAAATTGCCCGAACCTAACGTAACTGATGACGCACGGATGGAAAAGTGACAGCCTGTCAATTATGCAAGCGAGTATGATTTATAGTATTACCTTTTGTTTACCTTTCGCTGATTCTGAGGATTGGTGTCCCTACGACTTGGCGCTCTGACCAGCCCATCTGGTTAGTGGTCTGGTCAACTAGGCTGTTCTACACAGCTGCTTTCACCCTGACATATGATTCACAGCCTGGTATCCTTTGAAGGTGGTTATCAAGTTCTCTGTTGAACACTGAGAAGTCAGCCAGTTATTTTCCTTATGTGTAGGAGGAGAGTGTTAAAAAACTTTGGCTCTTTAATGTTGATAGTCCTCACTCAGCACACCTGTTCAACTTTTGTTTTTCAACGAGGCTGTTTTCCATCCTGCCATGCCTTCTGATCTCATGTTCTGCTATTTCTATGTGTAAATTTTGGATCAGTCTTAGTATTTTCTAAATGTTAATTATTTTGCATCTCTCCTGCCTGCACTTTAAGGAATACAGAATTATAATTTTTAAGTGATCTCAATAGTTACAATGTTTTATTGAGTCATTTCTGTCAGTAAAAAGATCTTTGCATGCTCACCAGGTCAGCAGTTGTTTCCAATTTTGAATGGTGCTGTTATTATGCAGCAATATTTCACTCGTAGAGACCATTAATGTCTTGAAACGTATCATTGGTATGGCATCTGTTGCTTAAAAGGTTCTTGTTATCCAACCTCTCATTTTTCTTAGTTGTGAAAGATATTTAATTGTGTTCTTTGAAAGTTAGGTCTTCAGACATGATTACTCCCAAATCTATTACATTGCCTTTTCTTACAATAATGAGGTTTGACTGCATTTTATATTTTTGGTTTCTCTATTGATATTTTCCTTTTTTTTTCCACGGTGCAGTAGCTGAAATATATCCTCATTAAACATGTTATTTTCTGTGACCTATTGAAAGATCTGATTAATATCAGATTGGAAGTTTGCTGTCCTAAATATTGTCTGCTTCTATGAAAATCGTAGTGTTGTTGGCCAAAGATGTTTTTGTACCACACATGAGTACCACAGTTTGTATCCTAGTCTGTGTCTGATAAGAGGATGAGAAAAGGGACCAGAGGAAGCACAGTACCGTTGGAGCCTGAGCGTTTCACGGTGGATGATCTGGATTTTACTTTGTTGACTGTTACACACTGTATACATTTCATTAGGAAGCTAAAGATCCATCTTCCTACTTTGGCAGTAATTCCTTTTAGCAAAGTCTTTTGGTTTTGCAAAGCTTTTGCAAAGTCTGTGTATTTTTTGTTAGTCTTCCATGGCACCTAAGGCTATGTCACAGTTAGTGATCTAGCAATTGTTAGAGGCAGAAGCACCCTGTTCTGAACCCATGTTGTCTAAGGTTATGTAGATACAGTACTGAGATTCCACATGATTTATGATTTTCTTAGCACTCTTTCAAAGATTTTTATAATGTGTGATGTAAGAGCTATAATTTTTTGCATCTGCTTTACTACCTGCTTTGTGAGGTGGTGCGATCTCTGCAGTTTTAAGTATGTCGGGGTTAACGTCAGTTGGTAGGCTGTCTCCAAAAGATGTTAAGGGCCTGTGATAGTGGTGTTTTGCACTTCTTGGTAAATATAGAATTCCTGAAGTCTAGGACTGGTGCAGAGTTCATGGGCATGCTGTCTATGGTTACTTCAAGGTGCAGTGGGGTTACGGTGACATGGTTCAATGTTGGTGTCATATTCATAAAGAATTTGTTTGGATCATGGATCTTCTATGTATTCAGCAGTTCACTGCAAATAAAATCATACTGTAGTATTTCACTCATGTCATCGTCTGTGAAAGTTCCATTACCTTTGTGCAAGAGCCCAATGCTGGATGTAGTTTTTGTCCTAGAGTTTGCATAAGAGAAAAAGTATTTTGGATTCCTCTCTATTACACTTATGACCTTTTGCTCTTGTTGCCTCTCCTGGATTTAAAATGATTCTTGAAGTTTGAGCTCGATCATTTATATTTCTCTACAAAGCTTTCCTTGTTGTTGTTAGGATAGAATTTGAACATTTGAGATGTTTAGTGATTTTTCTCCATCTATAAAGGAAACATAGATAAAACAATCACCTGTTATCCAATTGGGGTTTGTTTGAATGAAAAGGTTTGGGTAACTATTGGGGGCAGGCAGTCTTAGTAAAAATGTGCAATGAAGATGATAATGATGAACAGGCCTGGGAGGTTATCTTGAGATGATTTCGGGGCTTTTTAGTGTTCCCGCGGCCCGGTCCTCGACCAGGCCTCCACCCTCAGGAAGCAGCCCGTGACAGCTGACTAACACCCAGGTACCTATTTTACTGCTAGGTAACAGGGGCATATGGTGAAAGAAACTCTGCCCAGTGTTTCTCGCCGGCGCCTGGGATCGAACCCAGGACCACAGGATCACAAGTCCAGCGTGCTGTCCGCTCTGGCCGACCGGCTCCCAGTCCGGGAGTTAGACAGCTGCAATGGGCTGCTTCCTGGGGGTGTGTAACAAAAAAGGAGGCCTGGTTGAGGTCCGGGCTACGGGGATGATAAGACCCGAAAACATCTCAAGATAAATAAGATGGAACTAATTTGCCCATTATCAATCAGGTCTTCCTAGCATATTTCTGTGAAGTCTTTGTTTATTTGTTCCCAGGTAATCAGTTTATTATTAAAATTTAATTTGCTGAATTCCTTGGGTTTGAGATGTGCTGCACAGGTTTACAGCCCAGGCTCGTCTGAACTTTGATTAGGTTGTGATCCGAGTAATATTTATTTGTAATCATTGTCCCTAATCATTTCATCATTGTTTGCAAAAATAACTTCTTAGGTGTTTTCTAGTTGTTTCTACTAATTGCTGGTTTAAAACAAATTTGTCACACATCTGCAAGAGGTCATTTGTGTGTGACTGTTCATTTAGATTGCTTCCTGGGATTGTCTCTGGTACTGTATAGCTGGATTTGCCACATTTTTTCATTTTACATGTTGAAAATCACCAACCAAGATGATGTTTGCGGCAGGGTTTGTGAGGTTTTCTAAGCAGTATTCTATTTTCATAAATTGGTCTTTAAACCATTGAGGATTTGATTTTGGTGATTTATGTACCAGGTGAATCACCACATTTAAAATTCCAATTTTGAGTATCACAACTTCCACCATATTGTTTGTGGTGTTAGCAGCTCAGAGCAGATGAGTGTGTCTTTGGTGTAAAGACGATCCCACCTTGTAGCCTGTGTTTCCTGTCACATCTGAATAGATTGTACTCCAGTACCCTTATCTGATTGTTATCATAGTCTTTAGTATGAGTTTCAGTTAAACTGCAAACATTGCATTTGCCTCATTTAGGAGGCCAGTTATAAAATGGCATTTGTTTTGCAAGTTTTGATATCTCTTGTATGTTGGTGTATTTGTGATGTTGTCGTATTTGTGAAAGTGCTGGGTATTTTACTTGGTGTTAATATCCTTTTACTAAAAAAAATCTGTCATGTATATGGGTGTCGCTGTATTTGTATTGGCGTTCTTTTTATTTTAATCCCTCGGTTCCTTTGCTAAGAAATCTTAGGCAGTCCCTTTTAAACATTCCATCTTGTTTAGTGAATTTTTGCAGGTTTGGGTGGAAATATTTTCAATTATCAGAGTGATTTGTGTCCATATTTAGGGTATTTCTACAATTTTTAGGGTAATTATATTTGAACGATCCATTATTTCTACTTAATAGTCCATGTTTATATACACCCTGTGCATAATATTGACAGTTTCCAAGTTCATGCTTTGCTTGATTGTCATGGTTTATCTGTACTACACTCTCGTGTTGGCTCTTTGCTGATAGATGAACAAAATCTCATTACATCTCAATGTCTAATAAGCTCATTAGACATTGAGATGTAAGTCTGATCTTAACTACATACTCAGACTTTGACGAAGCACTCGGGAGAGTGCGAAAGACTTGGTGTAATTTCTTTCCATAAATCTCACAAATACACAAGTGTGAGTTTTTATCCCATGTTATGTCTGTGAGAAGACATAACCATTACCTAATATATATATATAATGTCTTGGAGTGACAGGAGGCCTGGTCGAGGACTGGGCCGGGGGGACGCTAAGCCCCGAAAACACCTCAAGGTGATACCAACTAAAGATTGAAATACAAATGAATTCTTCTTTATAACTTTATCACAAACATATGTGATGGTATTGATGGCCACTCTGAACTGTGTTGTGCTCAGAAATCTTTGTTGTAGTCATTGGAGCTTAAGTTGCCAGTTTTTGTAATGTTGTTGTTATTAAACTACTGAGACGAGTTCTGGTGTAGCACGTGCACTACAGATCTTAAGATGTTATGATTCACTGAAGGAAGAGTTCCAAAGACAGATATGATTAATTGTATGATAGGTGTAAACTCAGCCTAAATAACACACTGGTATACCTTATAGTATTTTTAGGCATGAACTACCTTCAAATATGGTTTGTTGACAATCCCATTATTCCATAGTTGTCAGTTGCAGTAATTGTTTGTCAGGATTCTTTATTTTGAAATGTTAAAATGCAAATATACAGTACATAATTAAAATTACCATCCTTAAGGTTAATATAATCTAAATAAATTATACTCAAATATCTACTAATTCCTAATGTACACATGTATTTTCCTAAATTATACACTAGTACTAAAATTCTTGCAGACTCTTTGAGTGCATGCATCTCGTACTGCACCGTTACATAGGGTCTTGTCTTTGTTTCTCAGTCTAGTAAATAATTTCTCCATTGGGAGTTTGGTACAAGCATTAAACAAATCCACAAGGGCTGTGACGAGGATTCGAACCTGCGTCCGGGAGCATCCCAGACACTGCCTTAATCGACTGAGCTTCGACAGGGTTAAAAACTTTACCCTTGTGGATTTGTTCATTTGATGCATCATGTTAGTGTGATCTCTTGTGTGTGTTAGTACAAGCATTGTCTGAATGATTTGTTTCTTGCAGTGTGGGAATAGTATGTACAGTGCTTATCCCGGGAAACACCAGTTTCCCATGGATAGTGTGGAGGCGGTGCTGCCGGTGCTGGCGCGCAGGAAGCGGATGGCTCGCTCGGACCTCCAGACTTGTGATCCCTGGAGGCTTCTTATGTCCCTCAGGTGAGATAACATGTACTAGTATTACAGTTTATATGTATTGATAGCTTTCATGAGATGTGATCTTAAGATACCGGTAGTGTAAGTATCTCGCACTTCATTTGCACTCTACTAATTCTCAGGCATAGTATCACTATCTCATGCCTTCTGGCTAGGTCCTTACTCATCACTTTCTTATATGCAGTATACCAACTTTACTGATGTGCTCATCACTTCCTTAGATGCAGTATACCATCTTTATTGATGTACTCATCACTTTCTTATATGCAGTATACCAACTTTACTGATGTACTTATCACTTCCTAAGGTGCAGTGTATCAACTTTACTGATGTGCTCATCACTTTCTCAGATGCTGTATACCATCTTTACTGATGTACTTATCACTTCCTTAGATGCAGTGTATCAACTTTACTGATGTGCTCATCACTTTCTTATATGCAGTATACTAAACTGTACTGATGTTCTTATCACTTCCTTAGATGCAGTATACCAACTGTACGGATGTGCTCATCACTTAGATGTTGTATACTAACTTTATTGATGTGCTCATCACTATTTTATATGCATTATACCAACTTTACTAATGTTCTCATGACTTCTAAGATGCAGTATACCAACTATACTGATGTGCTCATCAGTTTCGTATATGCAGTATACCAAACTGTACTGATGTTCTTGTTACTTCCTTAGATGCAGTAAACCAACTATACTCATGTGCTCATCACTTATATGCAGTATACCAAACTGTACTAATGTTATCACTCCTACTTGTCACACCAGCAATCATGTTCAGATTAGCACCTTGCATCATGACCATCCATCTCACTATCAAAGTATTCTCTCCACACACCTCTAATCTATGCTGCTTTACTTTCATATGTCTTGAAAACAAATTATTGTTTTCTGCAGGCTGATACTTCCCCACCCCATGAAAGTGGTAAACAGGGCAACAGTGGTGGTATTAACTCTGAGACTCAGATAAACAAGTAGTGTGGGAGAGAATTTGGATGTGTGTTTCATTCACCTGGGCCCCAGGAGACTCGAATTGTTTTTTTTTTTTTTTGAGGTGTATTGATGGGTACACTTGGCTCACCTGTAGTGTGTAATTCTCGAGCATTTTAATTTTATAATTTTGGTAGGATTTGTGTTTCGGAAAGTAACTAATCGTGCAATATCGGTGCCGGCTGATAAGTTGAAGCACGTCAGTTTGTACTCTCACCATTGCCTAAAACATTACCTTAGGCAAGATATTGGAGTAAGTGGTGATCTTATAAATTAGGAGCCAACCACAATGTATATTAACCCTTGCAAGTTATCATCAGTTGTTGACTCACGGGGTACTGTGAATAGCTCTAATGTGGTTGTACTGGAGTTTACGTGCTTATCTTTCGATGATTCTGGGACTTAGCGTCCCCGTGACCCGGTCCTCGACCAGGCCTCCTTGACCCATAAAAAAAACTGCTACCATTTCATGGTTACATGTACTAGGTGAATGCACTTATCGTCATGAATATTACAAGGGGGAATGGGGTTGTCATCATACAATGATTTCAACAATTACTGTCAGGGTTTGCAATGTATGATGCAAATATGGATATAATATAAATATAAACAAAATAGATAAACAAAACAGATAAACAAAGTAGAGAATAGCCTTGATAATTTGGCAAACCCAATACCTGATATTATCTTCCTAGGTGACTGTACTGTCACCTTATACCTGTCTAGTATACGATAGAGAATAGCAAACAATAATAATATACCAGAAAATCTACCTGGACATAACCAACCACAGATTAGAAAATGACTTATATTCTGTGACATTTTCACTCAACCAGCAGATAAGAGCCAACTAGGAACAACAATATTCTAGATCTGGTCTTCATAAACAATGAAGACATAATTAGGGACATTACGATCTCAGATACGACATACTCACATTCAATGGGAAATTGTTCCAAGTATTAAAAATCCCACACAAGGGATAGAACTAACTTCCGAAGCTTATACTCTGTCTGAAAGATGTTCCTTTGCGGAAAGCCAGAAAGAGGTCCAACGTAGAAAGAGAACGCAAATGTCACTACAAAAAAAAGAAAGTGCTTAAGCAGGTACAACTCTCCCTACAGAGAAGGAATAATTTAAACAGGGAGATTGAAGAAATCAAGCAGAGACTGGAGCATTCATATCAGATTGAAGAAAGGCAACTAGAACAGAAAGCAATAAAAGAGATGAAAAAGAAAAAAATTCTTCTATGCAAAAGCAAAAAGCAAAAACCACTGCCATTATTGGACCCATTCGTACATGTTAAGGCTCATACACAGAATAAGAGAGAAATTGGTGAAATCCTAAAAAAAGCAGTATGACGATATGTTTTAGCACCCCCAATAAACAGCATGAAAGTGGAAGATTTGGACAACTTCTTTATGCGTGATATCCAAACCCCTGAAAATATAACTGATATCAACATGAGCGTGTCTGATTTTGAAAGAGAAATTGACACTGGCCCATGCACTCGGCCCTGGGGTCAGACTCATGGAATTTAATATTTATAAGGAAATGCAAAGTGCCAGTAGCACAGGCACTCAGTGTAGTTTGGAAGAATAACTTAGACACTGGAGGTACCAAATACACTTGAATCAACAGACTTAGCTCCTCTACACAAGGGAAGGAGCAAAGCATTGGCTACAAATTATAGACCAGTTGCACTAACGTCCCACATAATAAAAGTATTTGAGAGAGTGACCAGGAGTCAGGTCACCAGTTTTATGGAGACCAATGACCTCCATAACCTAGGCCAACATAGATTTAGAGCAGGAAGATAATGCCTCTTGCAGCTACTTGACCGCTATGACAAAATCACCAAGACATTAGAAGAAAAACGAAATGCGGATGTGGTATACAAAGACTGGAGGGGGGTTCATATACCTTTATCCCCTGGTCCAGCTGTTGCTCCAGGTTCTGGCTTGGCTCAAATCTTATAAAGGAAGAGTGCTTCTCCTAGCCCCGTGTTGAATGGCCCAGCCTTGCTTTCAGGCGCTGTTTGCTCGGTGTCCGAACCTGGGAGTCTTTCCACAACTCTGCCTCTTTCAGCAGATCGGGCCAGTGAGGTACCTCGCTGGTTCAATTTACTCTTCGGCTCTTCACGTCTGGTTTTTCTGATGCGTGTGTATCGCCACTTGTATGGTGATCAGGTGGGTTCTTTGATGGTGCTTTGATGGTTCTTTGGACCTGCGGTCTTCCTCTCAGCGACAGTATGAAGTCTCTTGGTGGTCACCTTTCTGCCATTTCCTTTCCCTTCGTAGGGTGTCATCTCTGTGTGTGTTAGTGCTGTTTTGTCTTTTTTGGCTTTTTCTGGACCGGCATCTCGTGCTGAATACTGTCGCTTTTTGTCGTGCGGCTCTGGCAGAGCCGCTCCAGCTTGTGTTCGGGGTGGGTGTCACTTCTGCCTCGTTTTGCAAGCTCTCGTGCATTTTTTCACCTCGACCTGCTCATGCGCTGTTCTCACTGATCGTTCACTGAAAGATTACATTCTTAAATCATTGTGGCTCATTTGTTTTATAAATTTTGACCTGTGTTCTTTTGTCCTTGCCATTATCTGGAACAGTGTATACTATAGATTCGTTGTGGTGAGGTGCCGATATTGGAGTGTATATTTATGGGTGTGGGGCTGTATAAGACTATGAATTTTTAGAAGATTATACTTGCTGTCCAGCATTTACTGGAAAATGGTAATTGCAAACTAATTTTGTCATCTTTCCATACTGTAAGGGATTTAATATAGTCCCCGGTTATCCATGTTATTGATTGTAATCTATCATGGGATCAAATTAACACCAAAGTTGAGTCCATGTGTGCCAGTATGGTCTCCAATATATTTCCTGACATTTCATTTGCAGGTGTGGCTTAGCAGCAGAAGTAACGTGGGCCCTAGATGTATTAAACATATTGCTCTTTGATGATCAAACAGTTGTTTACTTTGGCCTGCATCATATGCCAGGTTTACTTGAAGCACTAATTGAGCATCTAAGACGTGGGCTTATCAACATGTTCGATATCTGCTCAGAACTTGAGTTAGGTCGGGATGATGAAGCCACAGGAGCTAACAAGAGAGTTAAGGTATGGCAATGTTTGTAATTCTGCAATCTCTTTGTTTGACATATAATGCATCAAGTATTGAAATGTTAGTTTCTGTGAAACTCGATAAAAAATAATAATTTGCTCGTTGTAACAGCAAATAGATACAGTACAAGAACATGTGCACAAAGGAGATGCAACAAAATTTCTTTCTACTAAGGTTTTTTTCTTGTTGAAAAGTTTCATTGAGATATGATAGGTTATATAAATATATAATATTTATTTTTGTGGTTCTGGGTTCCAGGCTGAGCAGCATGACGACTCTGATAGACCTTGGTATCTCCGGCCTCCTCCATCACCTACCCTCGAGTTGGACCTAGGGAAATTAGAAGAGGATGACCCGAATAACAAAGAAGAAGTTTTAAAAGGGTCGGAAGACTTCACTCTCATTACCAAAACTGGGAAGATTGTGAAATTTGTTAAACGAGATGGAGAACTCTTCATGCGGGAGGGTATTCGGGAATGGGATAAATGGGAGGGATTTAGTTCTGGAGTAGATACGTGGTCTGTAGGTGGAGGCGAGTGTACAGCCCATATAATCTGCACTATGCAGAGTTCGGTTCCTCCCTTGCTGTTCACCAGGTTACTACCGGGAAAGGACGGAAAAATTATTGAGGTGAAAATAGAGGAGGTGGTGAAGGAAATCAAACAGGAAATAGTGGAAGAAAAGAAAGTGGAGGTGGTGCAAATAAAAGAGGAACCAGTAAAGGACAAAGTGGTAGACTTACTGGCCGAGATGCAGGAAAAGAAGGTGGAAAAGATGGAGGACCTTATTTCTAGGGAAAAGTGTGAAAACTCCAAAGATAATGAGTCAACAGACAAACTTTTCAGTCAAAGGGTGAATAGAGTAAATAATTCAAGGAAGAGCAAATTAGATGAAATATTTAAGAAGTTAAAGAAGGAACCTATTGAAGATAACAGTGACAATAAGAAAAGTGTAAAGGAGATTTGTGTGTTGAAAAAGGAAACTGAAGTGCCCCAAGACTTAAGTGTGGTGGTGAAACAGGAACCAAGTAGTGATAAGTTACCCGAGGTGAAACAGGAGGAAGTATCTGAAAATAAGTCGGACACTAAAGAAAAATTAGAAAGGCGAGAAAGTAGTGGCTCTAGAAGGGAAAGTGGTGGGTTTAAAAGACCGCATGAAGATCTTGAAGAGGAGTCATGGAGTCCAGATGAAGCATCACTCAGCACAACAACAGAAGGACAGGACTGGCTAGCTCGCAGGGTCATGTGCGTTGGTACAGTAATCCGGAACCTGTCCTTCATTCCAGGAAATGAAGATATCATGAGTAAGTCTGCATCTCTGCTGGCCTTACTGGGGAAGACAATCTTGTTGCATCACGAACACCCTCAGCGCACTCCTTCCACAGCACATTACGATCGTGATGAGGAGGCTGACCTGAGTGATTGGTGCAGCTCCCTTGCTCCTGATACGCATTGGTGGTGGCCCTACCTTCATCATGTTCATGAGAATACATTGGTCACCTTAGCAAATATGGCAGGCAACCTTGACCTGTCTGTCTACCCTGAAGAGATCTCAAGACCCCTATTAAATGGCCTTCTACACTGGGCAACGTGTCCTGCCTCATATGGGCAAGATCCATTCCCAGGTGGTGGAAGTTCAATACAATCTGCGTTATCGCCTCAACGTCTTGCTCTAGAGGCGCTGGTTAAGCTTTGTGTGCTTGATCAGAATACAGACTTGGTTTTGGCAACACCACCATTTACTCGTTTGGATAACTTGTGTGGCCAGCTGACTCGCTTTGTGTGTCGTGGTGAAGATCAGGTGTTGCGAGAGTTTTCTATAAACCTCTTACACTACTTCTCTGCAGCAGATTCAGGTGTTGCCAGAGTCATAGCCATGCAAAATGGATGCGTTTCTCTACTCGTTGCTTTCATCGAGGAAGCAGAGGCAGCAGCAATGAATGTAGCAAATGTTCAAGGTGTCAGTGCTTTAAAAGAAAACCCAGAACTAATGGGAACAAGTTTAGATATGGTGCGGCGGTCAGCTAACACTTTGGTACACCTCTCGCGAGTACCGGCCAATGCTCATGTGTTATCCACTACTGAGAACAGACTATTAACTTTGGTCATGAGCCAGATATTGGACACTTATGTTGCTTCTCAGTTGTCACAGGTGTTATTTAATGTAGCCCAAGTGCAAACTGACCTTTCCCAATATTCACCTTGCCCCTCCCCACCATCCTCACCACCAACTACTACAGCACAAGCCCCCGAATCAACCACAACTCCAGATGCATCTGCTGATGTGAAGTCACCATCAGATGTACACAACATTCAATCTGCCTCAGTTGCCACAGCCATCAGCTTGGCAGTTAATCATGACTCCTCATCCAGCGAATACGACAAACCTAATGCCTCCCCCAGCCCCGCTTCTGCCATGGCTACTGCTCCAGCTCTTGCTTCAGCTCCAGCTCCAGCTCCAGCTCCTTTCTCACTTCCTGCCCCATCTGTAACCCCTTCCCCGGCCCCCACTGCTGCACCCACCCTAGGCAAAGTTCCCACCCCTAACTTAATCCCTGCACCAATCACAGCAAATACCCCTATATTTACCCCACAATTAACCCTGTCAGTTAAGCCAACAAATTCCCCAACAATTGCCCCCACCCAAACCACAAACTCTGAGTCAACCTCAAAGTGCGAGTCCTTGGCGGCAACTACTCCAGTCCCCATGGAAGCACCAGCAGCAAATCCCTCGTCTTAGTAGCGGGTGGGTAATCCCAGTGAGCGTGTAGGCCTCTCTCAGCCATGTGTGGTACAAACTGTGTGGTGGGGGTGACACTATGCCCCCCCGAGGGTCCCCCCCTGGTCCCAGGGCCCCATAGTGTCTCAGCTGGGCCCTTGCAAGGACCACCTCAGTGATATTGAGTCCTACCAGGCATTAGGACTCTCAGTGTTGTGTACAGTAATTAAAGTAAGATGATGTGTGTCCTGCTGTAAGCAGTGTCTGTGAATTATTCTAAAGTGCGAGTGTAGCCAGCAAACAAGTCTGTGAAAGTCTGTGTATTTGTACTTTTCAATGTACAGAAGTCTGTACTCATCTCAGCTGTATTTCTTGGATTTAAAGAAAGTTGTAGAAAGAAAAGTATTCAGAGAAACAGTCTTTCCTTATCCTGTTTCTTTTTGTTTAAATATGGATTGGTCTATATAACTATGGTAACGTGACTAGATAAGCTGCCTGCCTTCCTCGTTTTGATTATGAATGGCCTAAAAGATATTTAAATTTTGAGTAAGGTTTATCTATTGTGTCTACAACAAATTTATGTTAAAGATTAATTATAAAACTGAAAATTCATTAAGACTTAAATTTGTTTTTAATTTTTGAATATACGATTCTGAATGTTGTACAGTTCACCAGTGCCTGATCTTAGCCCAAATCTGTTTACAAAATTAAATGGCTGATACTGAAAATTGAGGAAACCCATTACAGAAGTTACATTGGATTCTTGTCAAACAAATTGTTGTAGTCCAATTTCAGGGATATTTTTAATAATGGGTGTCGACTCGTACGTAGATTGAGAAAACCATGTTCCTAACAGATAACCGGTTTCTGGATATCTCTTTTTGTGCATTAAGTATATTGGCTGAATCCATAATTTCACATGGCCAAGGTAACTATAGAACCCCCAAATCTTAACATCCACTTGTATTCGGCTGGTTCCATTTTTTTTTCTATTTAGGAAAGGAACACTTCAATGAGAATGAACCTTTTCAAGTCCCTGAACTTCTATTCCATCTTGTGTAGAAAGTGTTTGACAGGTTAACTAAATGAATGCTTCATATGTTGATAATATTGAATGTCATTTTTGTCATTGGTCAGTTAATTGTACTTGCTTTAGATATTTGTCAAAATTGCATTTAATCAACCTAGAATCCAGCCTCTAAAATATGCTTCATATATGTGATGACTAAACCACAGTTCCAGTTTGCTTGGGCAGGGTTGTCGTTCATGTCATCGTGTCATTAGCTCCTGAAATTGTTGTGATTTGGCAAGATAATACTGTGCTGTTCACATGTGCCTGGAAGTAGAAGTGGCATTGATAACGAAGTACACCGGCTCCATTACCATGAAGGTAAATCCAAGCTTTCAATGGGACAATTATTTTTATCCTGTTCAAAAATAAACAAGGGCATTGCAATAAATGAGCTATCAAGCACAATAACAAATTTATTCCTACACCACACAGCTATACGTGTACCCAGTGTTAAGGACAGGGTGTACATCACTTTTCATAAGCCTCCAAATCTGTTCATTTGTCCCACATCGACACATAATAAATATGTAAAATATACACCCAACCCACAAATCTTAAAATAAATGAACTGATGAAATTTTGGTCATCACTGTGTGATGTGATAATGGTCCAAGATGGACTAAAACAGTCCATGCCTTTATTTTCAGATTTGTGCATTGGGCATCTTAATTTTCAGTGAAGTTATTGTGGTTTATTGTCTTCATGTGAGGTTCCTGGAGTTAAGACGTAAACGTCTGCTCTCCTGCCCAATTGTTATTAACCCATGGACTGCCCAGCTATTTAAAAGTACAGTATTCTATGGTGGTGCACATGACGAGATATAGTTAGTCTAATGGGAAACGTTGCATATAACGATTTGCACAAAATAAGTAATTATAAATAAAGTATGTTGACCAGACCACACACTAGAAGTTGAAGAGACAATGACGTTTCGGTCCATCCTGGACCATTCTCAAGTCGATTGAGAATGGCCAGGATGGACCGAAACGTCATCGTCCCTTCAACTTCTAGTGTGTGGTCTGGTCAACATACTTCAGCCACGTTATTGTGACTCATCACCTGCATACAAATAAAGGTTAGGGCAGTGTAAGGGTTAATGTGTGCGTCTTCCCTCATTATACATTTAACGCAGTAACAAACTCGCCCATACAAAAAGAGGTTGTGGGATATTATAATTGTTTATCCTGCATCCTAGTCATTCCTCTGCCTCCTAGTTCATTTCCTTGACATTAGGACCATACAGCTTCATGATTTAATTATGAATTTAAGTCCTATATATATGAAGAAATCAGATATGCACAAATCCAATCATCTTGCACCTTATAATTTGATCATGCTTGCACCAGTCCAATCATCTTGTAACTCGAGATGAGCATTGATAATTTATGCAGTTTACCAATGTGCAGAGGAAGCAGATGATACATGATGGTGCTGAACTTGTTCAGACTTGCTTGGTTAACTTCTAATTATCTAGAAGTTGTCTTGATACACTATTTACTGAAATGCCATTGTAATTTACCCTATATCTATAATTGTGTAAATTTAATAACTTTGCAAAATTAAAAACAAATGGCATCTATAATAATTCCCAACCTTATTTCATGTTTGTGTCATCCAGATATCAAAGGATTGAGTTGTACATGGAGCAGACAGTAGTTGGAGTGTTTTGTAGTTGTGAGGTGCAGGTAGGGGTAAGGGGATGTGTGAATGTAATGTTTGCAAGAGCAACAGAAGCTGGAAGTGGAGACAAATTCTAAGGAAGGTTTAAAGAGAGTTTGATCGGCTTGGTTTATTTGAGGAAAAGTTGAAAGGAAAGACGATTGATAGAGTAAATATTTAAAGATCTGCCGTGAATAAAATGTCATGGTATGTCAAGAGTATGTTAAGGAATATTATGGTATATGGCAATGAATGACTCGAGTTGTAGCTTCGGCGGTATGTGCACTAAATTCAAGTTTGAATGGTTAAAGGTGAGGGCTGTGATAGCATAATCTCCATTTGATGACAAACCATTGAAAAAATATGTATTAATATTAAAAAGCTCCTTTCCAAGCAAAATACTTCAACTGCTGCTTAAAGTGAGATGGAGGAGCCTCCCCTGTGTCGGTGAACTGGCTCACTCATAGTCAGGCTGGATGGTATCTTACTAATATGTTGCTCATGCAACATATGCAAATTAGATTCAATCTTGAGCTTAGTATTTAATATTCATAATTTAAAGATTTGGCTATGGCAAGACTTACACTATCATCTTGGGAGGGAATTAACTAGAATATAGTGTCCAACTCTTCATGAGAGTAATTAAGATGTCATTAGTGTAATCTTAAAAGATATTATTGAAGCTGCATGAAAAGTTCCAAGATGAGGTAATTCTGAAGGGAGGAGTGTACAGGATAACAGTAAACCCCCAAACCCTTTATCTTGTTTAGGTGTGTTCCTACAGTGTCGGAACATTTTAGGTTGACGAGAAATGCCATATTTCGCTAAGGTACTGCAGGTTTCAACACAGGACTTCATTGTCAATGTTACTGCACTAAATGGCAGACCTTCTGAACTGACTACTGCATCATTCAAGGCCTAACCTTGCTACACTGTCAAGCTAACTCCACAAACACACAAGATTGGCTGTGTTAAAATTACACATTGGTCTTCATTGATATTTCAGACTGAGATTTGGTTTAGCAGCTACAACTGCTTAACCAAGTGAAAGTCAATTCCCAATGCCCAACAGAGTTGATATACTTAGAAGAAAAGCTGGTATCTTGTGGGTCTGTTACTACCTGGCTGCTAACACCTTGCTAGCCTTGCTAGCCTACAGATCAGTTTCACCATTAATACACCCAGACCTACAGGCCGCTAGAACTCTGGGTGACTGCATCAAGACGGGTGGACAATTTGTGCCACTGCTCCATGTGCTGCCTTCTCCGCTATCATTGGTAGACTTGCTTCACGTAACATCATTTCTGTATTTTTCTTTGATGTCCATGACGATTGTGTCTGAGATTTTACATGAAAATAATAAGTACTGTTTGGCTTGGCTCTACATTATTATGTGGATCTCGTGCGGGGAAAAGCCACTCGTGGGTTGTTGCCAGTCAAGTGCTTCTTTACAGAAACTGTGACGGTGGAAAATACTTCTACCATGGTGGAGGAGCCGGTCGGCCGAGCGGACAGCACGCTGGACTTGTGATCCTGTGGTCCTGGGTTCGATCCCAGGTGTCGGTGAGAAACAATGGTCAGAGTTTCTTTCACCCTATGCCCCTGTTACCTAGCAGTAAAATAGGTACCTGGGTGTTAGTCAGCTGTCACGGGCTGCTTCCTGAGGGTGGAGGCCTGGTCGAGGACCGGGCCGCGGGGACACTAAAGCCCCGAAATCATCTCAAGATAACCTCAAGATGGTACCCAGGTGGCTTGTTACCTTTTCCCAACATCACCTGGGAAGGTTAAGCCAGAATTTCTTGTGGGATTGTTCAGAGTACATATATGCTGTAGTTATTGAAGTGGTGTACGTGATATCTGCACAGGTATCTTTTCAGAGATGCAGAACTACTGGACTCTTTGGATAACTTTATGGAAGACTTGTCAATAATTTACAGACACCACTTCTAATTGTGAACCCATTATCTCAAGATTGCTTTAGTGCAGTGAGACAGATTTCCTCTTCTATCAGTTAATTCATTGTTTCATTGCAGTTGGTCAAAACTATTAGTCTTGCATTGCCGAGTTACTTATATAAGGCAACATCAGCCTCTGCGGTCTTCCTGAACCCCTCCAGGTTGATAGGGGAAAAAAGACGCAGAACAGTCAAGAAGCATTAATCATTTGTGTCTAGTAGTAAACTACTAACTTAATGGGAGTTGTCTGAACTGGACTGGCAGTTACCCAAGTGATGTTTTCATAATAGCTCCTATAGGAGATGGACCAACAAAAAACTGGTATTCACCTAACTGAGGTCTATATCTTGAGATGATTTCGGGGCTTTAGTGTCCCCGCTGCTCGGGCCTCGACCAGGCCTCCACCCCCAGGAAGCAGCCCGTGACAGCTGACTAACACCCAGGTACCTATTTTACTGCTAGGTAACAGGGGCATAGGGTGAAAGAAACTGTCTATTGTTTCTCGCCGGTGCTTGGGATCGAACCCAGGATCACAAGTCCAGCGTGTTGTCCGCTCGGCCGACCAGCTCCCTTACACAAAGGTCATTGTAGTTACCTATGGTGCAGCAGAGGTTTGCTGATTTGTTTCATTTACTTAATGTTATTGCATTCATTTTGAAAACCATTGCACATTGAACACTTCGTGTGAGTTAGTTCAAGACATATATAAATGGTTCAAGTGAGAAAATCAA